TTTTACTGATGTACTGTATTTGTTCACTGGTCTGTTTCGCCATCATTTCTTCAATTAGACTCTGACTCAGACAGCGAGCTTTCAGTAGATGAACACAGCTCCTCCTACGCCTCCTCCCACTCCTCCGACAGCGAGGATGATGATATTGATGTCAAGCCAAAGTGGAACAACGAGAGGCCTCTTCACAGCACTCCAAAAGGTAAATGCACAAGTCTCTTAAAGTTACAGCGTGTAAAATTCTCCCCACTACAGATTGCAGAAGAGTCAGTAGATTGCAGATTACTGTCAGCTGAGTTCTGTTACATCGGCAATAAATTGGGAAATAAAAATTAGATGTGGTTAATTATATATTTTGCAGTAATACGTTTTTACCCCTTGTCACCTAAAAACCATCACCATAGTGTGCAAAGTAACTGTGTAGGTTGTCAGTTAGTCTACTGTTTACCTCAGCTGTCAATCCAGGGTGAAAAGTGTCCACATTTATTTTCTCTGAGCAAAACTGTAAAACTTTTTGAAAGGAGTCTGATATAAATCAGTGAAGTTCACTTTTGTCCAACGACAGTGATACTGAGGTGAGTTTTTGAGGATTTTTGAGCAACTTTTCTGTTGGTAAGCGATGCTGTTAGCCTCTGTTAGCTCCTCTTAGCCTCTGTTAGCTCCTCTTAGCCTCTGTTAGCTGCTGTTAGCTGGCACTTGTGAAACTGAAACTCTCTTTGAAGTACATGTAACTTGGACACAAATAAGCTTGCGTATTTTATGACATTTTGTGAGAACTAGTTTGCTTTCACTTTAATAATATATATTTATGAGCATTCTTCATTGTTATAGGAGGGCAAACCCAAAAGTAAGGTCTCCTATTATTTTAGAAATACAAACAACAGTTTATTTTCCATAATATTTACATCATTTTAAAGTTTAAAGACTTGTTTATTTTTCTACATAATGGCCATTTCGGTCTATAAATTTTTGTAGACTCTGTGACAGTTATACAATGCCCATGTCATATCCGCTAGCCGCCGCCGCAGAATCACCTTCCGGACAAATGTTCTTTCAACTTTGGGAACAGGTCGTACTCACTGGGTGCAAAGTCTGGACTGTAGGGTGGGTGGGTGATGAAGTTCCAACCAAAGTTTTGCAGGAGTGCGACAGTTTGAGCAAATTGTCGCGCGGTGTTGTGGAGAATGCTTACGCACAGTGTGCATCTGTGTTTTGGGACCAAAAGGTGGTATTGTTGGTTTACTTCCTGCCTGTTGGGACCACAATACATGCTGACAGGTACTAGGAAAAACTGAGAAGGGCATTTCAGAACCAGAGAAGATAAATGCTGAGCAAGGGCGTAAGTATTCTCCACAACACCGCGCGTCCACACGTTGCTCAAACTGTCGCTCTCCTGCAAAACTTTCGTTGGAACTTCATCACCCACCCCACCCTACAAGGGTATGACTGCCACAGCGTTTACAAAAATGCATCGACCGAAATAGCGATTATTTATAGAAATAAATAAGTCTTCAAGCTTTAAAATTAGGTAAATATTATGGAAAATAAATGGCTGTTTGTATTTCTAAAATAATAGGAGACCTTACTTTTGGGATTGCCCTCGTAGAATTGTTTTTTTTCCTGTTAAATTATCAAAAAATGATCGACTGTGCCTTTAAGATATCATCTTTTTGCTATAATGAACACTTTTTCCTCATATGATGTTGAATTAAATTGAAGTTTTCTCTTCCCTTCTCAGCAGGGCAATCAACATCTAATCACGTGAAGCCTTACTGGCCAACAGATGCCATTACAGCCAGTGACAGCGAGGACCCCGGTGGGACAGAGAGGCTGAGGGTGGAGACCAAGGTGAACGTGGAGCTGCACCCAGAGAACAAGCTCAACCACGTTGGTGAAAGAGAGAGGGAGGCTCTGCAGGAGAGAGACAGACAGACTCCTACCAGTATGAAAGACTCAGCGCCTGCCAGTCAGCCTAACAGCAACCACCAGCCAGAGCAGAGAAAAGGTGAGGGGAGAAGTGTTTAGAGCCGATCTGAATCGACTTTACGTCACGCTTGCTCACACAAATCACTCGTCTCACTCAGGCATCTTGAAGAACAAGATCAGCTACCCTCCTCCGCTGACCGACAAGAACATGAAGAACCGTCTGAGGGAGAAGCTGAGCGACTACAACTCGCCCACTATCACCTCCCCTCCCCCCAACAACAACAACACCACCTCCCCACCCCCTCCCTCCGTCAACATCATGACCCCGTCGTCCCGGACGCCTTCGTTGGCCTCCAACGAAGGAAGCCGACTCGGCAACCACGAGAGCGGCTCCCCCGTCAAACCGCCCGTCGCCCCACGACCTCAGATTCCGCCAGGGGGTATCTACCGGGAGACAAATGGCGGAGTTGCCATGCACTTGAAGTCGGGGACGGTCAACGGAGGCAATGAGTCAGACTCAGAGTAAGAAAAGAATACCGTTTGTTTTTAGCACTAATGGAAACAGTAGTGACTAATACATGCAGTTCCAGGGGAAACTGCAGTGCGATTTCTGGAAGTTCCTGCAGACTCCCCGTGACTGTAGACGCTTGCAAGTTTTACAAAACTGCCGAGATGCTACCATGACAGTTTTACACAAACGAGTGTGGCCCTATTGTGACTGACATTTTAAATGTGGAGCACTTTGTCTAACCCCCTAGAAATTGATGTTGAGCAGTTTTCTACAGTGCATCCTTACGCCTCAAGCATGTGAAACTGAGAAGTCTCATTAACGGTGCCGCTCAGTACACCTGAGCGTGTGTCCAACAAATAAAAGACTCAAAATCAGCTTAACAGTGATCGTAGAAGTTTAAAAACCTTGCAAGCGAGCGATATTTACAGTTAAATGAGCAACAATCAAGCTGATCACAGTGCCAACTAATGCAATATTGCATGCATCATAAAGGCTTTGTTGTTGCGAGTAAGTTGAGAAAACTGATGGCACCCTTATGTCCAGTATAACTGGGATAAAGCTCTCCTGGTTTTTAAACTGTAAATGTGTTAACAATCCTCTTAATGACTATATTCCTTTAACTCGAGCATGAAATACTGCGACCATCCTGATTAAATGCTGCATGAGGACCCTCCCGCATCCCTGCACTCATTTTACCTTGCATGTTCCCCTCTTTTCTTTCTCTTTGCATCCCCCTCCCTCTCCTCTCCCTCCTGTCCTTTTGTTCCCCTCTGTTAACAGTGGCAGTAACGAGACTTCGATCTGACCTGTTAGGCAAACCCAGACCAGCCTGCCTTTATGAGAGGAGGAGCTAAACAACCTGCCAGGTCGGGGCTGAGGGGACCAAGAGTCGAGGAACATGAAAGGAAAAGTTGCGAGATGGAGAGGTGTTAAAGGATGGATGAAGAGAAGCCTGATCCTGTCAGCATCGCCGCTCCCGTCATGTTTCCTTTCTCGGGCGAGCAGTATTAATTGCAGACGTTAGGACTGCCTTAGATGAGAAAATAAGCAGAGATGTGAGCGATAACAAAGGGAACGCTGTGCCGGACTGTGTCAAGACACGGTTGAGCCACGTGTGCCAAAACCACTAATGGAAATCATTAGGAAGAGTCGGAAGATGAAGAATGACACCCAGAATGCATTGTGGGCCCTAACATGAAGCTCTTCTCTAGTGTTGGCGAGGAGCACATCATTATGTTCTGTTTCTTTAGGTGAAGTTAGCAAAGTGTCAGATGTAATAATCACTGTTCACGAACCTCTAAAGGCTGGTACCGTCACAGTAAAATGATTTTAAAGACTGCAGGTCCCTCAGATGTCTCACACACACATGCTTCAGTTCATGCTGGGCAGAGCTATGAAACACAAAGTGCTCTTCTTTTTTGTTTTAATTAAAGAAAGGCTTCCACAGCCTCTCGGTGCAGTGTATTTAGAGTGTAAGTAACATGTAGATAATTTTAAAAAGTGAAGAAGAAATGATCTATTTTCTATGTCAGTTTTAGCAAGAACACAGTAGTGAAAAAAAGAACAGAAATCACATCGTACGCCGGTTTAACAGTCAGAGAACAACAAATCTGCGCTGCGTGCCTTCATGCTGCACCGAGGCCTTACAAGCTCACTCAATACTGTAAAAGGCTGCAGTGGGCTTCCACTCTACAGTGGTGCATTCACAGGCTGCTGCTGTTGTGTTTGAGTGCATGCACACACGCAAGAGTACGGTGTAAATGAACTTTAATTATGTGGAATGAAGAGGAATTCCCCCCTCTGCTGAAAACTCAGCTTTGCAGTTGGAGCACTGTGAACCTGAAGCCTTGTTTTCCAGTGTTTGTCGAGCCTGTTTATCCAGTGCAAGACACACTCCTGGTTACCAAAGTCATGAGATCTGGTGAATAAGCAGATTAGAGTTGGGCGTCAGTTCGGTTTAACTCAGTTTTAGTGCAGAATTTAAAAAAAAAAAAAGCCATTTGTTGATCTTTCGTTGTGTAAAAGTAAGAAACAGACTGAGCAGGTCTGTTCAGAAATTGCGTAATTGATGCTGCCTTTTAATCGCTATGTTTTCAAATCTGGGTTAAAACTGAAAATGACAGCAGCTCTGAAGCATTATGCAGCTAGTAAAAGGTCGTTTTACAATGTACAGTCACTAAATGCCTTTGTACCTTACATCCTGTACACGCCCAGTGTTTTGCCCTTATGTAATCAATGCTGTTGATAAGATGTGTGTTTTTGTATAATCTGAGACACTGGAAATGTTTTGTAACATAATGTATATTTATTTTTTATGGTTTTGAGACACTGGAAAGAAACAAAAAAAAGATTGTATGACTGTAAAATTAAAAAACAATGACATGATGAATTTTTAAATTGCGTTGTCTTAGCGTGTCTGTTCGACGGAAGGGAGCATGGCTGGTTCAAACATGTGCACCAGTCAAGCAAATGTGGTGACATCAACGTTTAGCGGTTTAACAAATGATGAGTAACACAAACTGGAAGTTACTCATTTCATAGTTCTACGCTTAGGGTTAAAGTCTGAGCTCCCAGTTTTACGCACATTTGTATGACATGATATATTCTTGCTGGCCATGACAGCATCACACAGTTTCTGCAGATTTCTTGGCTACACATCCATGATGCCAGTCTCCTGTTCCACCACATCCCAAAGGTGTTCTATTGGGTTGAAAACTGATGACCGTGGAGGCCAACAAAGTACAGTGTGTTCATCGTTGTGCTCAAGAAACCAGTTTGACATGATTTCAGCTTTGCGGCATGGTGCCTTATCCTGCTGGAAGCAGGATGGACTACAGGGAGCTAAAGAGCCCAAGGAATGCCAGAAAATATCCCCCACACCATTACGCCACGATTACCAGCCTAAACTGTTGATGCAAGGCAGGATGAATCAATTTTTTCATGATGTTTATGCCAATTATGACGATTTCTGTTGCAGCAAAAATCGAGAAGGAGCTTGGAAAGAAAAGTGTCTGGACTTCTTTAAGTTGCTTGAAGACGTTTCACCTTTCATCCGAGAAGCTTCTTCAGTTCTAGGGTCAAAAGGTCACTCTTTCGAGGATGTCAATGTTGACATTTGGCTCATGTGATTAGGTAGTGGATCTTTCTTTCTGATCTTTCTTTC